GGGGAACTGAACCACAAGAGTGAGAGTGACACCCGCCTTGCACTTCCTGAACGATGGCACCATGAGGAAGGGGGAGCCGCCCTAAAGTGAATGCAATAGCAGATGGGTCGTTCCAGTGAACCCCTATACAGATGATACCAAGCAGAAAATTATTAATAAATGTGTTATTAAAAACATGGAATATGAATGGCACGGACAAGAAGGAGGAGATCAACACAGCGCTGTGTTGTGTTCATATCCTCTGTTCCCATATTCTTCATGCTTTCTTTTCAATAATTGGCTACTAACTAGTCCAATCATCAGCATTAGTCAATAAAAGTATGCTGCTATTTATTAGTATGCATGAACACCGTGCTTGAAGTTGAATCCTACAGTCATTTATTATTGGATAAAAACAAAAAGGAGGGTGCAAGCTAGCTAAACAGGCTAAACACATAATTTATTAAAGACGGGTTCTCTGAAGGATGACACAAACGCAGAGAAGTATCAAACACAGCTGAGTATTAATGGGCAAAAATGAATAGGCGACCCAAAAATGAAAACGCAGGAGAAGACATGAAGTCAGTCTTTACAATTTCTCTTCTGCTTGCCACCACTTTACAAAGGGAATTCCTTCTTTGGCCTTACAGCGTTTTACTGTTCACAACCCCTGACATACCCAAGGACAGTAAACATAAAAAAGCAACCTACTAACATTGGGGTAAATGTGATTGAACAAACAACAGGGAATGCCTTGAGCTTTCAACCTAGGAAATAAAAAATATGCCGAACATCAAGATTAAAAAAAAAAAAAAAACAGACGGACGGATCACACCTGTTTCTAACAAAAATATAGGCCAAGAAACGTCTTCCGCTCAATGGCAAAACACAGGGAAGGCACTAATAGATTTCTAGGTTTCATCATTGTTAGTGATTCCTTCAGTATACCCTTGTGGTCACTCTGTTTAGTCAAAATTATTTCATCATCATCATTCATTAAATCATCACAGTTGTGTTCTTTAAAGAGTACGGAAACAAAAATTGAAATATTCAAATTTCGTTCGGAAGTGAATGAAGTATGAGGGATAATAACCGTAAATGATAATCGCACGTTTGTATTTTGAACGACTGGCTATATTTTGCGTTCCAAACGGTGCACTCGACAGCAAGCGCTCGAAGAGAAGCGAACGGAGAGCGCGATGCGTCATGGGATATCCGGCGAAAACAAAAGCAGAAAAGATTCCCCGCGTTCGTGGAGTGGCAAGGCAGGCGTGGTTATCAGCTTTGCCCTTGGTGGCGCTGGCAGGGTTGTGGTGGTGTCAATAGCGTCAGCGCGTTACAACCGAGCCGTTCGAAGTACCCGTGGCGTGACGAGCGTGTGGTTGGCCCACGTGGGCTGGCCCAAGGAGCACGTAGCTTCCACAACACTGTCAGCTTAGGGCTGAACGGGGTGGGGAAAGCAACTTTTGTTCGAGTTTTGAGCAACGGGCTAATCTTCTAGGGGTAGAATCGCTGTTTCCGGTTGCACGAACGAGGGTCCGAGAATGAGGGGAGTCCTTCCTTTCCGTCTTCTTGGACCGTTTGGTACAATGCGCGATTTGTGAATTGAGCCAGATGAGCGTAGGAGACAAGTGATAAGCGGAGCGTGGGTTGCCTGCAATCCTCTGAGACAAACAAATCATGTCACTTGATCTCCAAACAGGAAAGCTTTACATGCTTCGTTTGTGGCAGACCATGATGTTCACAATGGTTCAGCTGTGCAGTGCGATGCTTGGGGCCACTGCTTGCTCACTTAAGGCCTGTTCACATATGTAGCGGAGCGCTACAAGCGTAGCGCTGACCTCGTGCTAAGCGCGTGCTGACGGGAGCGTTCACCAGCTTTGTGTCGCACCGTCAATACTGTTGTTCATGGCAGACAATAAGTAGCAGACGACACGTGAGAAGCGCTACATTAGCGCTTCGCTGCATGTGTGAACCGGCCTTTAGAGTTCGAGAAAGGGAGGCGCCGTAGCACTTCCCAATTGCCCACGGGGTTATGATGTGGCTTGCAAGGAACACTTTTGTATTACTTCATGAAGTGAGTTGTGTTTAGTGTGACTCATTATTTCTTTATCACATGCCTCGTATGTGGTGATGTGGCAATCCCTCTAAGTGAAAAAGTGTAAATGTGTTCAGTAAACATGATAAGCTGTAAATCATATAATAATAATATAAGAATATGCAATAGCATATATGATTTTCGTACAATTTACAAGTTCTGATATGTGTATTGGCCACATTCCAATGAAATGTATACTGGGGTCTATACTTCATTTCACTCTTCGTCCGAGCGCGGCGGACGCTACCAGCCAATCCAGCGTCGCGAGAGCGTCATGTGACCTTGTACCCCACATAACCAAAACGTCGCATGATACCCTCCCGGCGCCAGATTGGCTGGGGTGGCCCAGCATCCACTGGGGCACCCCAGCAGGAACCCAGTTCATGCCAAGCACCCTTCACCAAGGGTGTTAGCATGCACCCTTTGTGAAGGGTGCGTGCCTAAACGCCATAAGGGTGTTAGCCTAGGGACAAACTGATTTACACCCTTAAGTGTGTAAAAATACTGTGTACTCAAGGCTTCTTTTTCCCATTAGTGCCAGTAAGCTTGTGAAGTGAAAAATATTGTAACTGAACAGTAGAGAGTTTTAGTAGATCGCTCCCATGACTCCGATAACGATACCCGATACTCCGCCACCGCCTCTCTGCGCATGCATGGTATCGTTATCGGGACTATCGGAGGTATCGGAACGATCTACTAAAACTCTCTACTGTTGCACTGTCCCTTCACCTAAAGTTATTTCCTTTTATTTTTTTTTACTGCTGCACTACCGGGGGATCTTAATGGTTGGACAACATACCATCCCTGAACCTACGACGACTCGAATGGTGATCGCAACCAGCGTCGTAAGACTTAGTACTGAAAAAAAATCAAAGCCGCTTACAACTCCCTGTAACGCCGAATTAGAGCGCAGCTCTTGAGGAGGAGGAGGCAAGGGCACTGGGGGGGGGGGGCTTAAACTAACCAGGGGGGGTCACGTGACCTTGGGGGTCACGTGACCCCCAATGCCGATGTCATCACTGACGTCACTGATGACGTCATCAGTGACGATGACAATGCGGGTACCGATGACGTCATTAGTGACGTCACTGATGACTTCACCAGTGATGATGACGATGACGATGCGAATGTCGGTGACGTCATCAGTGACGTCGCTGATGACGTCATCAGTGATGATGACGATGACGATGCGGATGCCGGTGACGACATCAGTGATGTCACTGATGACGTCCTCAGTGATGATGACGATGACAATGCGGATGTCGGTAACGTCATCAGTGATGATGACGATGACGATGCGGATGCCGGTGACGTCATCAGTGATGATGACGATGATGATGTGGATGCCGGTGACGTCATCAGTGATGATGACGATGACGATGTGGATGCCGGTGACGTCATCAGTGATGATGACGATGACGATGTGGATGCCGGTGACGTCATCAGTGATGATGACGATGACGATGCGGATGCCGGTGACGTCATCAGTGATGATGACGATGACGATGCGGATGCCGGTGACGTCATCAGTGATGATGACGATGACGATGTGGATGCCGGTGACGTCATCAGTGATGATGACGATGACGATGTGGATGCCGGTGACGTCATCAGTGATGATGACGATGACGATGCGGATGCCGGTGACGTCATCAATGATGATGATGATGACGATGTGGATGCCGGTGACGTCATCAGTGATGATGACGATGACGATGTGGATGCCGGTGACGTCATCAGTGACGATGACGTCATCGGGGGGTCACTCGACATCGGCGGGGGTCACGTGACCTCGAGGAGGGGCTCACGTGACCTCAGGGGAATCACGTGACCGGGGGGTCACGTGACCTCGGGGGGTCACGTGACCCCCATGAGGTCACGTGACCCCGGTGGGGGGCTCGCGCGGTGCATTATGGGACATTTCCCATGATGCACCGCGCGGTTACGCCGACGGCGACGGCGACGGCGACGGCGACGCCGCTCATGCCGGAAACGGGCCCCTAAGAGCTGCGCTCTAAAAGTCCAATACATATTGAGCAGCCTTGCAGCAGCTTCGCGTGTCATTACTATGTAAGAGTTTTTGGGGTTGAGTTATAAAACATGACCTCCCGAAACTCTTGACAGTCTTCTGAGGAACACTGAGGCAGTCTGTGATAAATTATGTATTAAGTGTAAAACTACAGCCACTTTCGGTCAGTGACTGGCCGGAAGTCACTGGCCAGTGGCTGGCCGAAAGTGACTGGTCAAAGGTTAATGGCAAATCACTGGCCTAAAGTGAATGGCTAGTCACTGGCCAAATGTAAATGGCCAGTCACTGGCCAAAGGTGAATGGCCAGTCTCTGACCTAAAGTGAATGGCCAGCCACTGGACGAAGGTGAATGGCCAGTCACTGGCCTAAAGTGAATGGCCAGTCACTGGCCTAAAGTGAATGGCCAGCGACTGGCAAAAAGTGAATGGCAAGTCAACAGACGAGGACGAAAACACTTCTATTGCCGAGCACTTTGGCCAAGATTGGGCCATCGAAAATCTGGTTGGCCATAGTACACTTGCCAGCGATGGCCCATTCACAACGTGTTGCTTGGGTATCTACCAAAAAACTCAGTATATATTTTCACTATCTGAATTATGGAACTAAAAACCTAACTGGAATTGTCTCTGGAAAAATGAAGTTCAGACTGCAGTCAGAGAAATCATTCCTGGAAACTTGAAATCCGGATATATTCCAGAAAGTTTTCCAGTTCCATAATCCAGATAGCGAAAAGTTGTACTCTGTTTTTGGGTAGCGGGATGTCTGATAGAGGTTATGAAATGGTTAGTGTCATGGAAAAGACTGTTTCGTGTTAAGAGTATCTCTGGCCTGCAATATGTAAGCAAAAAACTTCTTTGCGAAACGCTGAAAGCAATGAAACATACGGCACCATACCCTATCATCATGGCTACCATGAGGCTGCTGCTCACAAATCCCTTGGTTTGAATGGTATCCGGGCAGCCTCGCAACCTAAAGACGAAGTGGGTGTTCAACACTCCGCTTATACCTGCACTGTACATAGAACATATTCGTAGTAATATACATGTGGCGTTTGCGTGTGCATATCCATGCAGCATATACCTTAAAGTTTTTGTTGTTTAATTTTCACAGTACTCACGTGACTACTTTCAGTGCGTGGCAATACGCGCAAGTCATTATCAGTGACATCGCCAGTCCAATGAAGGCTTGTGCCAGGTAGATCATCCAAAGTGCCCTTTGACAGAAAACAATCCTTACCGGGGTTTAAAAACCAACTCGCGTTATGATTTATACAAGAAAATAAAATAGTGGTTACCGTTCATAGGGGATGAATGGCGCAGGCCCCACCAAAAGGTACGCAAGCGCTGCAAAAATTTGTCCGACGAAACAAAAAAATGTCTCCACCTGAAATTCATAAATTCAAAATAATTGCTTCTTTTACAGCTGCAAAGCACCACCACGATTTTTGATACTCTATGTTTTCGTGCGCAGTCTCAGAAGTCCTTCTGTGTGTGCATTGAGTACTGAAAATGAGTATTGACCGTCCATGTGGTCACTAGACTATTAAATTTCTGGAAAGTTTACCATCCTTATTTCTTGACTAAAACGAAGGCGTAAAATAATGTCACGAGGAAAGGAACTGCACACTGTCTTTAGGTTACCCAGTAAGTGATCCAACTTACTTTTTACAATATCAGGTCAGTTCGTTACGGGTTGTTTGAAAACAATCCCGAACTAGTATATTTAAAATCTAGCACGTATCATCATTGTAAAATTATCGACCAATAATATATCCACCTATTAAAAGCGTTTGAGGCTACCGTAACAATATATACTGGCACAGGCACAAACAAAAACGTGCTATGTTCGCATTTTCCCGCCTTCTCCTATAGACCGACACGCGGAGCGGCTCTGTTTACCAACACGGCTGGAAGGCCGCGCATGCGCGGTAGCTGTGTGGGCAAAAGCGGCCCGGCTCTCCATGTTTTCGCCATTGCGTACAAGGCATGACAAGCCGTAACGCTTTGCCCGTTCTGCAGTCTTGGCGGTACCACCTTTCAAGTAACGGCGCTACCGGGAACGCGTTAGTCTTTTCATGAACCTAGTAACCTACTTGTTACTTTTCGAAACAGTAACGGATAACGTAATTACGTTACTTGTTACTACTTCCCAAGTCTTAAAGAAATTACGCTTCGATTTTTTCTGTGTTCTAAGCCGTCAAGTCATGTTTTCCTTTTTTCGTTTTTCTCGTGAGTATTTAGGTGAAACCGCAAAAAAAATATAAAGTAATTATGTTCAGTTTCTGGATGAACATATTGTTTCTTGACATATGAGTTTATGCATACCTGTATCGTCGAAACCGTAAAACGTATTAAACCGTAATTTAAAAAATAACGCAGAAGTAACGTGTGTTACTTTTTATCGGTAGCGGTAACGCGTTTCTTTTATTTTCAGGCAACTTAGCTCGGTAACGCGTACCTTTTATTTGCAAGTAACGAGAAACTTATTTCGTTACTTTTTTTCGATAACGCCTACAACACAGCCCTTCTGTCGCCGATCCCCTTCTGCTGGGTAGCACGGGTGTAGCGAGCCTCCGACGAGTGCTTGGCCGGTGCTTTGTGCACGAACACCGTGGGAACAAAATCTGTGTGGTTTCGATCAGACGACGGTTTCCCTGCACATAAGCAAGCCTCGGGGCGGAGATTGAAATGGAAGCCGCACTTGCCTTCAAGAAAGTGCTTGCTGCACGAATGGTCGTTCGCGCGAGGCGACCATACTTTTCGATCCACGGATATTATCGACCTTCTATATATGCCTTTCAGAGTCTGCCGGGAACTTGTGGAAACTCTCTCCGCTACTTTTCTTGTACATTTCGGTGCAATTAACGGCAAAACAGATTCGCGCCATTCTGAAAAGCTGTGAAGCCCATGCGAAACGTGCGCCCTTTTGCCCACACCAGCCGGCTCCGGCGCGATCGCAGCGCCGCCGCAGCTCCGTGACATCAAGCCCGCGTGTCGGTCTATATACCCGCTGGTAAAGAAACATTTGTTTTCTTTGCTTTTTGTTCCTTTTAATCCCAGTTCGGTTTTCCCTTTTTTGTTATTGATACAATTGTTGACGGCATGAATACCACTTAGATCAATTTCGACTCGGTTGCGCACTTAAACATCCCTCGAGGAAGTAAATATAGCACCATACTTTTATTTATGACGGACCCGGAGCGAGGAAGAAACAAACCTACCTGCAGTCCTACACCGAAAAAAGAGTAGCTTAAAATAGCAAGAGATTCCAGCCACGACGCTTCCAATCATGGAAGACGCATATTGCACCGCGTACAGCTTTCCAATTTCAGTACGGCTCAACCCAAACTGAAACAATGCATTAAAAAGAATGTATTATCCACACATTTATTATGGATAAAAATATCGTGTTATTCGGATTGTGAACTTAAGGGGATAATTTTATCAAACAGTGGTCACGTGGAACGATTCCCTTGGTTATGTCACGGCATCTCACTTACCTTGTGGTGTCACGTGACACACAGTAGTTGCGATTCATATTTAATACTGTGACGTCAGTTTACGCGGTTTCATTACACTCTGATGCCGGATACGTGATAACGTTTCGTCAAATTACGTAGTCAGTGAAACTTTAACATCAAGTTACGGAGTCAAGTTGCACCGTGACGTCAGGTAATGTGCTCACGTTCTACTCCGTAGCTAACTTACGTCGTCACGTGAATCGTGACGTCACATCACGAGACACCGTAGTCCATAGTGGCCACAACTCCGTCACTGTCGTAAGCCCATGTTACCATGTTTGTGTTAGAACTCTTCGTTATGCTCTCGATCAGTGGTTCTCCAATGGGGTCCGCGGACTCTTTGTGGTCCGCGAAGGCATCCTAGGGGCCCCCGAAGCCCTACAGTTAAAGTTGCCTTTTTTCAGAGTGAGAGGAAACATTTCAATTATTGGGTGAGTTTTCTCGTGTGTAAGTCGATGAGCGAAGTCTGCTTCACACTAGCCCTTATAGTTATATCTGTTTATTAAATCGTTATCATAATGAACCCATACCTTTCCCTTCCCCTCAGCATGAACGGGGTCCTTCATAATCTCCGCCGATCCGCAAGGGGCCCGCGAAACAATAATGGTTGAGAACCACTGCTCTAGATCTAGAAATCAACCAGTAAAAGCACTCGTCCTTAAAATAATAACATTAATAAAATTTCGCATGCAACATCAGGTGCTCAAACCGTTCGAAGACTGGGCTCCAAGGTTGTTTCGTTGAAACCCGTGATAGCCCAACACATCATAATCGTCACCAGATCGGGTAGGAAAAGGCGGTCAAGGAGAAGTTTCCAGCAACTAGTAAACGGACTTTCCTCTGTGTTGGTTACGTTGGAGGTTTCTGCAACAATTGAGACAAAAACAAAAAGTGCGTTATACGAGTTTGGTTTTATATCGAAATATTTATTGCGCTTATTTCGGACACTTTAGACTACTTAATATTGCGTGCTTTTATTCGGTCCTAGAATCTATCTATTTCCGGCTAAACAAATGAACAATCAATTTTGTTGAAGTAACTTGAGATGGAGCCTCCTTAACAGCAAGGTGTAAGCCGACATTTTTCTAAAGTATTTATGGAATTAAACGAGGCTCTTAGTAAAATATTGATCGCCGCTCCGTGGCCTCAAGAAGGTTTGTTTACAGCTTACGATTCTTGGTCTCATTCGGGTAGAATGAGGAACCATATGTTGAACTCACCGCAGGATTTCGACGGTGTTATGGCAAACTCCCCTGACTTGTATATGTATTCACGTGCATGCGCTTGCAACCGCTTAGGACGACAGAACGCACTGGCACACTGGCGCTCTCCAGAAGTTAGTCCCAGAAGCCTCCCGATACGCGTATGACTTGACTGAAAGTTCCAAACTATTTGCGAGATCAAATCTGTGCACGATCTATGAGGAATGGTACCATTTAGTATTGTCATAGTTAGTTATAAGCACGCGGTAAAATAATTATGCGCACATCATACGCATATTTGAAGCCTTCAACGGCTGCCCGGAATGCAGTCGATAACATTCCAACCGCATTTCTGTGAACCAGACCTGCAATTTATTTATTTATTTATTTATTTATTTACAGAGTACCTACATCGCCTCGAGGGCATTATTGTAGGAGGGGCAGGAAATAACACACATACATAAAAACACAGTGATCACTTGTCCACACAGATTAGATATACAGCCGAGAAAAAAATACACTGTTGTCCAAGGTGCTCACCACATCATCAGGCAGCAAGTTCCACTCTTTAATAGTCTTTACAAAAAAAGAATTACAGAAGCTGTTTGTTTTATAGGAATATTCAAAAACTTTTCTAGAGTTATCACACCTAGCTTAAACATACGTTGGCCCCAAAAGATACTCATTCTTATTAATACCAGTATTATTATAATAAATGCGATGGAAAAACTTCAATCTTAATTTTTGCCTTCGAATGCTCAAGGGCTCCCATCCTAGCATGGTTTTAACATCTGTCATACTAGCGTATGGATCGTAGTTGTTACTAACAAATCGCGCTGCTTGATTTTGAAGTTTCACTAATCTATCGATCAGATACTGCTGGTAGGGGTCCCATATAACGCACGCATAATCATGCATTGCCCTTACGTGCAAGAAGTAAAGAGTTTCTTTTACGTCTCGGGACGCGTGTTTGAAATTTCTACGGATAAAAAACAACATTTTACTGGCCTTATTAATTGTGTAGTCAATATGTTTATTCCATTTAAGTGATTGGTGAAAATAAACGCCAAGATATTTACATTCAGAGACATTACCAATTGTCAGGTTTTTGATAGTATAATTTGTAAGAAATTTAGAGACGTTTCTAGCAAAATTAACGAGGTTTCATTTTCCAATATTTAGGCTCATGTTCCATTGGATACACCCGAGCGCAGGCTACACCACAACGTACTCGCGACAGTGCAGTCACTCTGGGGATTTGGCACTGATGAAAAGAGGAGGAGAAAGAGGGGGGAAAAGTGGGCGAGAGCGAGCGTTCAGAAAGAGGTGTCAGAACGGAAGAGCCAGGGGCCTGCTGCCAGGACTGGACGCTCAAGTCAAGCGCTCCGATCCAAGAATGGGCTGCCAGGGTGTAAGCAACAAATAATACCGGCTCGTCTATACACTCGGGCAAAACTTATTCTCTGGAGAGAAGCGACCGGCATGCAACAACCTTCAACCGGTTGAAGGCGGATGGGCAAGCCAGAACGCCCGCACCGTGACGCTCCACCACAATCCAGCATGAATCCAGCTTCCGTCATCACTTTGTCCGGAAGGCAACAAAAGGACAAAGACCCCCCCCCCCCCCCCCCCCCCCCCCCCGATGGCCTCGAATCTTTGAATTAAACTAACCCGTACTGAACGATAACCAACTGCTCTCTGAAAATATTCTGTTTTTTTGTTGGCTCGCCCCCCCCCCCCCCCCCCCCCCCTGCTCCTTAATTAGTATATTTCTTAAATACAAACAACCGAAGTTCTATGCCCAGTCTGAATTTTCTGAACCTCATTTTTCATTAAATATAACCATTTCATTTTCGTCACTTAAGAAATGCCGGTTGTGGCTTTTGTGTTCACGGTTTTAGCTTCGTGATACGTCTTTCGGCATTGTCAATGGCTAATACTGGAACCTCACTGGTAACGGAGCACTAACATGAAGCTGGCGACTCGCCGGCCCCTACGGTACTTAAGCTACCAGCGAATATACTAGGTGTCTCTGATTTTGATCAGTGTGACAAAAGATAGAGGCAATCGCCATAACGCACTATTGGCTTTGGTTTGCAGTATCGTAGGTCAAAAGTCGTCAACTCCTTTTTTACTGAGACCACAGGAGTACAATACCGACTGCACTTCTTAATCGTCAACCCGTAAAAAAAAACAACCCAGGAGTGCTATTATGAAGGCGTCAATGTGCACTATACTCTCACACATTTTTATCAATTCTGCTATCACTCTAACAAAAATAGGCAAAAAAAAAAAACTCCAATGAATTAAGGTTTGAACACGCTTTGAAGTTACCGAACGAACATTGTGGGAAATCGGGAACATCCGCCACTGTTCCGCAGTATTTTTTAGAAAAAAAAATTATTTACTGCAATATATCTGGTAATGCTTTGTCTGTATTCTAACCTATTATCTATTTTTGAGCAATTCGTACTCACGCGTGGTTAGATATTAAATCATGAAAATTATGCCGAACAATTTTCTCGTGTTTGAAAATTTCGAGCGATTATCGGTTGATAGCGTATATATATTCGAGCATTCGATCCAAACCTTTCTGTGGATTTTGCCATTAGTTTTAACAAATAACTCCTAAAATACAATGCTGTAATTTGCCGGTTCTACTTCGTTTTATTCGATCTACTTTAAGCACTTACAAAGACAACACTGTCTATTCTAGATTCGTGATACTAATTCGCCGGTTTCATCCGACATTATTGGATTCGTTTGGAAAATGAATGACAAACTGGTTATGTGCGAAGTCAAAAATAATTTGTTTCTGTTTTACGTGGAACCATTATTTCACTTAAGAAATATAAGCATAAAAAGTTTGCTGAACTGAAGGTTATTACCTATCCCCATGCGGTGCATGCAAGGCGCACGGCGTGGAGCTCACAAAATACCGTGGTGCTTGTTTTCTCACATTTTGCCGTGTATTATACGCTACAGGTTTTAGATTCATTATTTTTAGTATTCCGATTCTGTACGTGCGCATAAGTATGTATGCATGTTATCTACATATATTTGTGCGAATAAGCGCGTGTATTGTTTTTGAATTAATGAGTGCGATTCTTCGCCAATGATAACAACTAACCAACAAAGTTACATTTTGACAAGCGGAGTATTTTAAGATATGTTTTTTTTCCCCTTTGAGCGTTACTTTTTGTGAATTCAGTTCACCTAATTATCGACTCTCGGAGTCTCTTAAATTTAGAGAGCACCGTGATGCACCTGAAGCACCAGCCTTCTTTCCATTTGTTTAAACATTGAGATCAGCAGTCAGCACCATGCCCGATTAGTCCTATAACTTCGGTGGCAAAACCGTCCACCTCTTTTGACGCTGACACCCCAAAGTCATTACAATAAACAGTAGTTCACATTAATGTAACTTTTTTAAAGGGCGATCAATTATTCGTACCTTGAACGCAATGAGGCGCTGTATGCGCGCGGAAACCCGAAAGAAACCAGAATATATTTTTATTTTACCATATCGTGTAATTATGCTTAGACATTCAAACTTCAATTACCTTCAAAGTACTCTCCGCCTGATGCAACGCAGTTCTCGAAACGAGTCTTACAGGGTTCAAACCACTCTTTATGCTCGTTGATGTTGTTGCCTTTCGGAGCTTTTGTCGCCTTTTGTTTAACTTCTTCAATCAGCAATCAGTTTTCGTTTAACAATATTTTCATCACAGGGGAAAAAAATTAAATCACATGGTGCGGGCTATAAATAGGGAGTGTGGGGTACGGGGTCATGCCGGTCCTGATAAAAAAAAAACTGCTAACACTTCACACGGTGTGGGCAGAATGCAACCAATTGTGCCAGACTAAAGACTCGTTATTCGACCACGACAACGCGCCTGCCCACACCGTGCTGTGCTTTTAGCCGTTTTTGATAAAAAAAATTGGCCTGACCCTATGCTCAATTCTCCCTATGCACCCGACCTCGTCCCAGATGCCTATTCTTTTAGTTTCCCCGCATTAAAATATTTTCAAAGGGGGAAAAAAAAGTTTGATCATGTTGCAGATGTCAAACAAAAAAATGAAAGACGTTTACAAATCCCTGTAACGCCGAATTGGAGCGCAGCTCTTGAAGAGGAGTAGGGAAGGGTACAGAGGGGGGTCATGTCACCTGCGGGTAGTCACGTGACCCCGGGGGATCACGTGATCTCGGGGGAGGGGGGTCACATGACCTCGGGGGAGGGGGGGTCACGTGACCTCGGGGGATGGTCACGTGATTTCGGGGGGGGGAGGGTGTCACGTGACCTCGGGGGGGGGGGGGTCACGCGACCTCGGGGGTCACGTGACCTCGGGGGGTCACGTGACCTCGGGGGGGGGGGGGGGGGGTAACAACTAACCAACCAACATCTGCATCGTCATCAGTGATGATGACGATGCGGATGGCGATGACGTCTTCAGTGACGATGACGTCATCGGAGAGGTCACGTGACCTCGGGGGGGGTTGTCACGTGACTTTGGGGGGGGTCACGTGACTTTGGGTGTCACGTGATCTTGGGGGTCACGTGACCCTGGGGAGGGGTCCCGTGACCTTGGGATGGCCTTGGGGGTCGTGTGACCTTGGGGCGACCTTGGTTACGCCGACGCCGACGGCGACGCCGACGCCGACGCCGACGGCGACGCCGACGCCGACGCCGGTCAAGCCGGGAACGGGCCCTTAAGAGCTGCGCTCTAAAAACGGCAGAAGCACTGGAAGGTATGAGAAGCAATGAGGTGAAAGGGTGTTTTTTGTGAAATGAAAGAAACCTTTCGACAAGTGTATTGCATCAAGCGCAGGTACTTTCAAGGTGACTGGAATTTGAGCGTGTAAAAATAAATTCCGCTTTTTTTTTGTGTCTCCTTTTATGTACTTAAGGATCTGTGAAAGTGTTGTGTGGGGTCATTACTAAGTTGAAGCAACATATTTAATCTGTGAAAGTTACCGTTTGGCAGGTCCTCTTGAAAACGAAACTTGACAAGAAAAAGGAAAGCAAGCACAAGAGTTGCGCTGAACACGGAGAATGGCAGCGGATATGCCCACCACTGCAACGAGAGAAGCGCACACTATGAAGTGAATATTGTAAGAAAACTTTCCGCAATAAAATATGATTTTCTTACGTCAATTAGTATTCCACCGAGGCTTGACCCGATCAAATTTGCAGCTACCCAGATTAAATCTATAAACGACTGGAATGGAAGAATTATTTTTTAGTAGGACTAATACGGGCAAGAAAACAACCCTAACTATATAATATTGAGTTGAAATATAAGCTTAGTTGTATGTTTTCTCTTATACCTTGATGTTGCAGCGGTGGCTCACGTTGCAGAACCAAGTAACCCAGAACTCAAATCCCACCCCTGCGCGGTTTTGATCTGAGCTCGGTGGCTCAGGTCATCGTACCGGTGTGCGGTATTGTACCATTATTGCGCTTGATGACAGTTAGATACCACAAGCTAGCAATGGTATTGCATTGGCTAAAGCTATCATCTACAGCGAAGCTATTCGACGCCCGTTGGTAAAAAATAACTTTCAACCGCCTAAAAATACGCACAACACACAAAATATTTTCCCCTTAAATGCCACCTCAAGAATTAAAAAAAAACTAACACGTCGAACGTCATCACCCATCTGTCCTAATGAGCGACGAAGTTAATTGCTGACGAAGTTAAAGGTAAAAAAGGTGGCATGTTGAAGGTACTAAAGAATATTCCCCATACTCTGATATATGTTATCATACATTTTTGTTGAACACCTTTTTTTTCTACAGAAAATTGACCCTCCTGCAGAAGGTATAGAGGCAGGCTTTACTAGCATAAAAATTTAATGTTATTAAAAAAAACGTTCAATTGTTCTCATTTGTGTTTCTAGTTTTAGAGCGCAGCTCTTAGGCGCCCGTATCCGGCTTGAGCTGCGTCGCAGTCGCCGTCGGCTTAACCGTAAGGTCACGTGACCCCCAGGTTACGTGACCACCCCCAGGTCACGTGAACCCCCAGGTCTCGTGACCCCCATCACGTGACCCCTCCCAGGTCACGTGACCTCCCAGGACGCGCGACCAGTCCAGGTCACGTGACCCCCCAGGTCACGCGACACCCCCAGGTCACGTGAACCCCCTCCCCAGGTCCGGGAGTCACGTGACCCCCGTGAGGGGAGGAGGAGAAAGTAGGGGAGCAGGGAGAATGAGCAGGGGGGACGAATGGCGAATTTTCATTGCTCCGAAAAATGATTTTAAAAGACTTTTATCTCTTGTCCCTCGGCCGGCTTTGAACCGGAGCCCTTTCGTTCAGGAGTAGCAGGCAGGATCACGAGGGAGGAGGAGGGAGGACAAATATACCCTCCCCTCAGTGCCATTCCCTCCTCCTCCTCAAGAGCTGCGCTCCAATTCGGCGTTACAAGATTCTACAGAAAAATGACCCTCCTGCAGAAGGTATACCAGGCAGACTTTACTAACATAAAAATTTAATGTTATTAAAAAAAGTTAAATTGTTCTCATTTATGTGTTTAGTTTTTTCCTCACGTATTATCACCTTTCTTTTCCTTCCTTTCTATCTCTCTCAAACACACCCTCTCTTGCAATGAACTGCCTCGAGACAAACTACGACAGAATAAAACATATGCACTGTTAAGATGGAACATTTACCATCAGTTTTCAATCCAAGAACCTAACTGCACGTTCCCCCGGTCCGTCGTCGTCGTCTTTCCCATCCCGTCTCTGTTCCCTCGCAGCCATCTTGGGCTCTACGGGGCACGTGTGCCTGGCATAGTTCTTCGCTAGACACTTTTCACAGCACTTAAAAATGTATTTCATCAAGAAATTAAAGACTTCCCGAGAACGTTGTGTGGGTATTAAAAATGTTTCAACTTCAGATAAACGAGTAGATATTCGAAGTAAATATTTTATTATTGAGACATGGTGACTGAAACGCGCCTTCTAGAGGTGTGTCTTTAAGAAGACTTTATTTTCTGGTACCTTGATTTGCTTTCGCGTGTTTTCAGAGCTGCCGCAGATTTAGTCGCTAGCCGCAACCTGTGCTGTGTCACAGCAGCAAAGTTGGTTACTGTACATGTGTGTTTTGCTGTAGGTCGTTCTATAGCCGGTCAGTCGACGGAATGTACACCCACCACCGATAGGGACGTAGTGTGCATAGATTTTAGAGTGCTTTCAACTGCTCAATCTAGAACACCTGCGTTATGGGCCGCGTTTGCAATACGAGCTCCGAGGAGGTGACAAAAGAGTTTATCGTATGCCTACGTCTCTGTCTATCTGTCTGCTTTCCTTCTTGACACTGAACAGCACAATGAGTGTGCACTTGAAACCAATCTGCAGAGAAGGCGTCCGCTATTAAATTGGAAAGGATCTCTGCGGTTTAATTTTTCCCCATCTCTTAAATCTATTGGTCCTTTATCGAAACGCTGCGACAACAGCGACCCTAGAGAGCGTTCGACTTTTATTGCAAAAGCATTAACTCTCCCATGGAGCGAACCGACGTTATCTGGCTTTGAAGCCGCGCTAAACGGCACCTAAATGCCCGTGTCCCATAAAGAGAAGCCTGTAGCCTGTAGCAGCGAATTGATGGATAAATTCCCATTGACTGGCGCGCGTCCTAGTTTCAAGGAACGCCACCCCACAGAGAAGCCCTCTCTGTGTTTTTGCCAGTATTTCTATGAGCAAACCGCCAGGATCGCGACACAGTCACTAAACGTGCCGCTGATTCCTGTGACGTAATTCCTAACCCACATTTTGAGCACTTTTTTATGCTTGAACGTCTCAACATGTCAGGCTAAGACTCGTCACCCCAGTAGATGTGCATATATATATATATATATATATATATATATATATAAATAGATAGATATATATGTATGTATGTATATATGTGTGTGTGTAACGTTATGGCCAAGAAGCTATATCATTCGATCTTAGGCTACCCATTCTTCTATGTCCGCATTCCCTGGCACGCGCTCCCAGAGCGTGCTTCTTCGCTGTGGCGATACCAGCGACCATCACAATATCCCTCTTCATGAGGAAGGTGCCGTCCCGGCACTAGGCTTCTCACACTAGGGGCACTCAATCGCGATACCGCGAGGGTCGACTTAATGTTTCTCGTGGCCGAAGGACGTATCGCTCTTCTGGCTCTGCCTGCTGTGGGACGTCTACAGGCAAGTCCGTTCGAGTGACGTCATCAAGGGGCAAAAGAACGACTGGAAGTTGATCGTCGGCCAGGAGTTTGGCACCGTTCGCTGGTGGCGTGTTGTGCTGGCCTCCGTCAGTGCCCTGGTCACCGTTGTCTTCTACTTGGTCGTCAACGTGTAGCTCGTTGTCGAGGGTGTCCAACAGCGGTGGGTTCTCAAGAGCGTCCGCCAAATTAGGATCCTCAGCTGCTTGTACCGGTGGTAGACTTTCGACCCCATCGACGTACAGATCATCACCTTCAATGTCTATTACGTCTGGGTAGTCTGGGACTGCTGTGCGAGAAGTAGTCGGGTCATTATCTTTGTTTTCTGTGATGATTATATCAAAGAAGTCTTTGAGTGCTGGTGCAGGGAAAGGCACGTCGTTATTCGTGACGTGTGATAACGTCCTGGCAGGCAACAAGACTGGCTCCTTCCCAGCGGCTACCCGCTTCAAACGGTTGTTGTGTAAAACCTGCCGCTTCCTTTTTCCTGTTTTTCCTGGGTTCTGTACACGTTGTTAGGAAGCTTCTCGAGGACTACATAAGGACCCAACCATGGCAAATATAACTTCCAGGACTGTCCTCGCGGCACCGCGGGGGAATGTAGAAGAACTCTGTCGCCAGGTTCGTAGTCTTCGTCACTGGTCGTGCGGTCGTAGTGGCGCTTCTGTGCATCCTTTGCTTTCATGTCGTTTACAATTGCGTGGTGGCGAGCCCTTTGTAATGTTGTCAGTAGGCGCGATGCGTGTTTTTTATAACTGGACGTCGACGCCATGTTAGCATGGACGTGCACGTCGAGCAGCATGTCAGTTGGTATATTCAAGTGTCTACCGAAAAGCAGATAATGAGCACTGTAACCAGTGGATTCATGCACGCTCGAGCGATAGGACATCATGACGGGAGGGAGCTTGTTGTCCCAGTCAGTCTGTTTGTTATCTACGTATGCACTCAAGCTGTTCATCAGCGTGCGATTGAATCGCTCAACCAATCCGTCCGACTGGGGGTAGTAAGGGGAGGTCCTTGTCTTTCGGATGCCCAAAATTGAGCACATTTCTTGAAAGACGTTGCTCTCGAAAGTTCTGCCTTGGTCAGAGTGTGGTGTTGACGGTATCCCGTAGCGACTGAGGAAGTTGTGGACGAGGCTATAGGCGACTTCCTTGCTTTCTTGAGTCTTCAGAGGGAACGCTTCAACCCATCGAGTAAAATAGTCACTCACCACGAAGATGTACTTTTGTCCTTTTTCCGTCGTTGGAAACGGACCAGTGATGTCAATAGCCACTCGCTCAAAAGGGAAGGTGGCCGCTTGTTGAATCAGTGGTGCTCGTGGTCTGGGGTTTGGAGCCTTACGAGCGGAGCACTTAACATATCTCGAGCATGAGTTGGCTACACTGGGTGTAGCCATCTCAGACCAACCAAATCCAGAGAAACCTTTCTGCGGTCTTCTTTAGTGTCTTGGCGCACCCGAGATGTCCGCCCCCCGGTGCATCATGAACGGAGTCTAGGGCCAGCGGTATCCAAGTCTCGGGGATCACGGGAACGGGGGTTGACTCTGTTGTTTTTGCCCACATAAGGCAGCCGTCGACGAGCCTTAGAGTCTGCCGGTTGAGGAAGAGCACTCCCGCGCTGCATCGACGAATCTCTCCTGCCAGCGTGCCTGCAAGCAGGGCTTCGATGACGGGCGAAAGCTGCGGGTCACGTCGTTGTCCTTCTGGAAGGTCTGTCATGGTAAATGAAGACTGTGCAACTGTCATGAGCGCCACATGTTGGCCTTCATAAGCCGGGGAAGGCCGTCGGGACAGCGAATCTGTATTTCCATGTTGTTTTCCCAGCCGATGCGAAACGATAAAGTCATACTCGCTGAGTTGGTCAATCCAGCGGGCGACTTGGCCCTCCGGTTCTTTGAAGCTGCGTAGCCATTGAAGCGCGCTGTGATCCGTCCTGCATGTGAATCGCCGTCCAAGCAGGTAGTGCCTAAAGTAACGGACGAAATAAACCAGGGCCAGAATTTCTTTCCTGGTCACACTGTAGCGGCGTTCAGGCTTCGTGAGGATACGACTGCCGTAGGCGATTACCTTCTCCATTTCATCCTGTACTTGGGATAGTACCGCGCCGATAACGTTTTCACTTGCGTCCGTGTTGAGGATAAAGCGTAGGTCGAAATTTGGAAACGCCAGAACTGGAGAGTTCATGAGGCGCTGTTTGAGCTCTTCGAAGGAGTCTTGGCACTGTTGTGTCCAGACGAATTGAACTTGCTTCTCCAACAATTTGTGAAGCGAGGCCGCGATGTTGGCAAAGTTTGCAAAAAATTTCCGGTGGTACGAGGCAAGTCATAAGAACGAGCGAAGAGCCTCGACACTTAAAGGCTGTGGCCACTTCGAGACCTTTTCTGTTTTTGTCTCGTCGGTTCTGATTGCTGTAGCCGAAATTTTGTGGCCCAAGTACAAAACGCTGTTGCTGAAGAAGCAGCACGTTGAAAGTTTCAACTTGAGACCTGTATCTCTCAACGCCTTCAGAACTTGTCGAAGATGCATAACATGTTTGACTTTCGTTTTGCTGAATATGAGAAGATCGTTGAGATAGCAAAGACAGAAGTAAAATTTTCCCACGATTATTTGCATCAACCGTTGAAACGTTGGAAGAGCGTTGCACAGCCCAAATGGAAGGACATTAAATTTGAAACGTCCTTGATGTGTGGCAAACGCTGTTTTCTCTCGAGACCCCGTCGACATCTCCACCTGCCAATATCCTGACGGCAGATCGATGGTGCTGAAATATTTAGCACCGTTCAGGGCTTCGACTGTGTCGTCGATCCTAGGCAGTGTATATGCGTCCTTGCGTGTGACCTCGCTCAGCCGACGGTAATCTACGCAGAAGCACAAGTTTCCGCCCTTCTTTTTCACCAGAACGACGGGCGCAGCCCATGGGCTGTTAGAAGGACGAATTACTCCCGCGTCCAGCATTTCATGCGTTTTCGTGGTCACAACTTCGCGGCGGTTTGGAGGTAAGTGGCGCGGGGATTCTTTGATTAGACCGGCCGCACCAGTGTCGATTGGATGCGTCAGAACTGACGTTCTCCCAAGTCCTAATTACCTTGAGAAATTATATCCTCGAAGTCAAGAGCGTACCTTCGATCAGTTTTTGTTGATTACCCTGGATGTGTTGTGATGCGGTAAGCTCATCTTGCAGCGAGCTGACTGTCCATTTCTCTCTTTTCGTCGCAGAGCAGACGCTGTCTCGTGCAGCCTGCGCGTGCCTCTTGTCAAGTGGAGCAGTGGAGTACTCGCCTTCAGGGTAGTCAAAAGCGTGCAAGGTTCCGAGACTTGTACCCTTGAATAAGGTGACCGGCTCTTCGGAATGGTTGATGACACATACTGGCAGCTTATCGGACACTGTCAACACGCTCCAGGTGACTTCACTATTCCTTTTCACGAGGAGATCCGGGCGAAGTTTGAGAAGCCCGGTACCGAACTCTGCCGTATTCGGTGTAATGGTCCCGAGAACAATGATTACGGTCGTCGGTGGCAGGACCGACGTGACTGAAAGATGAAATCTTTGGATCTAAGCGCACGGGCTCTCTACTTGTCGTTCAAGTTTTCACTCGCTGAAGTCAACCCGAAATCGGTGTTTTATTAAGAAGTCCAGTCCCAGGACGAACTCATGTAGGATGCCGGGAATAACAATCACAGGATGGCTCACCGAGAGATCTCCAACCTCAATGTTTGAGCTGCATGTTTCCCATACTTCGAAGGCGGCGCCGTTAAGGCCAATGACTCCCTCTCGGTGAGTGAACTCAAGGTCAGGGTTGTCGCGCGAGAGCTCAAGCCACTTGTCGCCTCGTAAAATGGTCGCTGACAACCCGGAGTCGATAAGCATGTTCATGAAAATTCCGCCCACTTTCCCCTCACTGTTATTTTGGGGTGCGGAAGAATTCCCTGATTTCCATGTTCTACAAATGTAGGGCTGTCACTTCGCAGTGGCTGACTCTGGTCAGAGTTTGCACACGATGTTGCAAGGTGGCCAATACCGCCACACTGAAAACATCGTGGTCGCCTTCTAGGAGTGTTTCCGCGCGGGAAAGCTTTGGCTGTGCTCCTGGAAGTGACTCTGCGACTCAAAGCAACTGTTCACTGTGGCGCGAAGGTGGGCCACGCTGCTGGTCAACGCCGCAATGGCATAGCCTCTGGGTCGCGTAGTGGCTTCTGAAGTGTTACCCACGGCGGCGCACAGTATTGGTGTCCCCGTAGTCGCAGACAGATGCCCAATGGATGTTAGTCTTGAGGCTATCTCAAGAGCTTCCTCAAATGTTGCAGGGTCAGCGGCGAGTACTTTGTCACGCAGCTTGGATTGGAGACCCACAATGAACTGGTCCCGTACCATCGGGTCGCCCACGTGTAGTGACACCTCCGGATAAGCCTGTCCAAAGAGGTCCACGAGGTATAGGCATAGACGTCAAGGGCTTCCGTGGGTTGATGGCCGCGGGACTGAAACTGTGCCGCAGATACAGCACGCTGGCCCGCCGACGCCAAACGAAGTGTCAACGCCTTCACTAGGGCGGGAGAAGTCGCCTTGTTTTGGTGGGGATGATGCTGGAAGACGCGGAAGGCCCATCCTCAGAGGCGTGTCGGCAGGTACACCAACTTTTTGGCGTCGTCCCAACCGCTGGCTGCCGCGCAAGTGGAGAAGAGCTTTGCCCATTACTAAAAGCTTCCCTCACCGGTGAAGACGTGCGCGAGAACGGGGTGTACAGGTTTGGTGGCCATCCCACCGCTGCCACCAATTGTAACGTGATGGCCAAGAAGCGGAACAGCGTTCGGTTTGGGCTACCATTTTTTCTATGCCCGCGTTCCCCTGGCACGCGCTCCCACTGCGCGCTTCTTCTTCGCTGTGGCGATACCAGCGATCAACACACACACACACACACACACACACACACACACACACACACACACACACACGCACACACACACACACACTCACACACACGCACACATATATATATATATATATATGTGTGTACTATGGGAGCCTAAGAAAAACGTCGAACGTCGCGGTTGTCTTTCTGAGTGTCATCTCTCGTTCCCCAATTCTCACGTGTACAGGCAGTATTTATGGCGGACTGTTTATGGCTGGGGAGGTTTTAAGTGCTCCTTCTTTTCATCCTGAAACATAATAGTGAAATTCCTTCTCGTCTATCTCTTTCTGTGTGCAAAAAATAAACCAATAAAATAACTTAATGAATGGACAGGGGATATTTAAATATGATGTTATTTGCATTCCTTCTTTATGTAGCAAAATGTGCGTGAGCACCGCGTGAGAAAGTGTTTTTTGTCGTAAATCAGGTAGCATAATAACGTAGATACGACAAAACGTTTATTCCTATGACTAATTGTCTCTTCGTTTTAGAGCGCAGCTCTTAGGGGCCCGTTCCCGGCTTGAGCGGCGTCGGCGTCGCCGTCGGCGTCGCCGTTGGCGTCGGCGTAACCAAGGTCATCCCAAGGTCACGTGGCCCCCAAGGTCATCCCAAGGTCACGTGATCCTCAAGGTCATCCCAAGGTCACGTGACCCCCAGAGGTCACGTGACCCCTTCCCCAGGGTCACGTGACACCCAAAGTCACGTGACCCCCCTGAAGTCACGTGACCCCCCGAGGTCACGTGACCACCCCCAGGGTCACGTGACCCCCGCCGAAGTCACGTGACCTCCCCGATGACGTCATCGTCACTGATGCCGGTGAGGTCATCAGTGACGTCACTGATGACGTCATCAGTGATGACGATGACGATGCGGATGCCGGTGACGTCATCAGTGACGTCACTGATGACGTCATCAGTGATGATGACGATGACGATGCGGATGCCGGTGAGGTCATCAGTGACGTCACTGATGACGTCATCAGTGATGATGACGATGACGATGCGGATGCCGGTGACGCCATCTGTGACGATGACGTCATCGGGGAGGTCACGTGACCTCGGCGGGGTCACGTGACCCTGGGGGTGGTCACGTGACCTGGGGGTGTCACGTGACTTGGGGGCATCCGCATCGTCATCGTCATCATCACAAATGACGTCATCAGTGACGTCACTGATGACGTCACCGACATCCGCATCGTCATCGTCATAATCGCTGATGACGTCATCGCAGTCCGCATCGTCATCGTCACTGATGACATCATCGGCATCGTCACGTGACCCCCCAAGGTCACGTGACCCCCCCAGGTCACTTCACCCCCCCAGTACCCTTCCCTCCTCCTCCTCAAGAGCTGCGCTCTAATTCGGTGTTACAGGGAGTTGTAAACGGCTTTCACTTTTTTTAATTGTTGTTTATTAGGACATATAATTAACAACAACACCGAAGACGCCTCAATCAACATTGCAAAAGAAGGGCCCAGATATTCCAGTAAGCGAACACTCACGATCATTACACCACTCTTTTCCTTGAAATGATTAGTGATGTCAGCAAACAACACAACTGTCAAGACAATTTCCGTGAAGCCACCGATAGCGAAAAGAAAAATACATATCCCAAGCAGTGCCGTCCCGTCAGCAATCCAGTACACGCTTCTAGAAACACAAAGATGGAAAGATGACAAACAAAAAAATATCAGTACGTTTTAAGAGAGCATCTATTTGCTATGTTTTATTTTATTTTTCAAGTACGAGGAATGTAGCACTGGATATAGCAGTACATGATTAGTTGGTTTAAAGTGAATAACCCCTGGGTCAGCCGGGCACGTTTAAGGCCTTCAGACCGAACTCCTTTAGAGGGTCGGCAAACCAGCACCAACCAGTACGCGCAAGATCGCGCACGGATTTGCCGATTCTATGAAGGTGTTCGTACTGAAGGCCTTTGTTGTGCCGGTTTGACCCAGGTATAACAGTCACAACCTTTATGAGACGATACTCGAAACATATTTAACACAACCTAGTTTTTGGATTTTGTCACAACGTACAGAAGACTTAGGCCTTCTCTCTCCTTGGTAAAAACAGTACAGAATCAGTATACTCTAGATGCACTCAAGAATACTAAAAGTGTAGTCTCCATGGTGAAAGCGTACAAAAGATGAACATATAACTGACAAGTACGAAGGGTGCCATACTGAAAGTATGCACTTACATACAAAACTGGTACATGCACGTAAAGTGCAGCCAGACTGCAGTGTAACCATACTCATATCATACTAATAACGTACACTTATAATGCACATCGGTTAGTGTTTTAACTACACTTCTTAAGTAGTCCATAAGTTTACTCGGTAGTGAATTTAAAGTGTACAAGCTATGTGACAACAAGTTAGTGTTAGCTACTCAGCTTTTGTCTAGAATAATACCGTGTCGAAGTTTATAAAACAATATGTATAGAAATGCAAGAGCTATTTATCTGATCGCGAAGACATCTTGTTACCTTTACTAGGAGTGCATTTGCAATCTACTGAATGTAGAGATGTTGTGTACTTACAGCGTACTTGCATTGTACTGGAAGAATAGAGGCAGTGTGCTATAGCCTGTAAGTACAGAGTGTGGGTTCCCCCTTTGGGGGTACTACGTAGAAACACAGTAGGTGCCTTGGTTCAGGATAATGACGTGTTTAATGACGAGTGGGCACCACGTTTGCCCGATGGCCAACAAAGTCCGAAATGATGGCGCAAGCTCTTTTTACAGTGTTACCACTCGGAGTCCGCGCTGCCGCGAATAACAGTATTGTAAAAGGGGGGAGGATCGAAAAAAGAAGGGAAGGCGCCGTCGAGCTGAGCCTCACCCAGCGAAAGTCGCTCCTGTGCCGTTGGTTTGGCAGTATCATATAGCCTGCGGAAATGGACGCTCCCGGAGTGGTCGTAGTTAGGTTTGCTCCCCAGAAGGACGGACGCGTCCAATTATCAAGATCGCGAAGAGTATGGCTTTGGCAGATCACCCAAGAAGGGCGAGGGAGAGCCGTCCACAAGGGAATACGACCACGCCTCGCACACGGGACGCGCGCCTACATGGCGACGCCCTACGGCCTGTCTGAGTTAGGCCTAGATAAAAATGCGGGGAACACGTGACTTCTACGAAAGAAAGTGTACGTTCTTGTTTCATAAGTACACTTTATAAGTACACTCTCAGTACAAGTGAAAAGACGGTGAGAGTGCAGGCGAGCTGGTGGTAGCTAATCATGTCCTATTACACCTGAGACTGCGGTGCAAGAAATCGGAAGAACTTACAGTAGAAGGAACAGACACAGAGAACGTCTCAAACTCAGCTAACTGGTTTATTTCTCAGTACGTTTTCAGTACACTGATTCTGGACTGCATTTTACTAAGGGTCTTCGCTCTTTGTCCTCAGTTAATTTCAGCAGACCCTTTACTTTATCTCTGCAAAACCAGTTTTCTATAATTTAAAGGACCTTCCGAGAAAATGTTCACTTACCCCATAAAAATCGTGAAAAGAAAATAAACGCCAAGGGCTACCAAGTAGCATGTTCTCGCCGAGGTCAATTCCAACTGGAAAAAAAACGCGCTTACTAGACATCCTCAAACAAATTTCCACACGCGTTCTTCCCAAAAACTCCGGCATACATACAACACCGTGATACACTCAAAACGTCAATAATCATTTTTATAGATTTATGCCAGCGAGAGCAGTCATAGGAATCGTGCTCCAGTGGTCAGGCAGTCTCACTGACCAGACGTTAATTAATAGAAAGCATGATAGCGATTACCCTTCTTATCCGTTGAAATTACTAATGAAAAGCCAATGATTGCTTTTCAGAGTGTTTTATGGAAAAGCATACATCCAGTGGCAAGGCAAATTATAGCACAGAGAAAGAGGGAGCACTTCTTTAGATCTCACCAGTTTGGGTGTGACGAAGGAACCGAGTAACATGGTTATCTCGTATGCTGAATAAACAAAACCGTACTGCCAGGCGTGCAGCCCTTTCGAGGAAGCCTAGAAATACAGAAAACGTGCTATTAACAAAAGCCAGAATTATCATTCATCGACTATTTATATATATATATATATATATATATATATATATACCACATTGCTTTTTATTCTGCAGCTGTGAAATAATCTGATTCCACTACCTTAAATCTAACAACCAAAATCGTTTCTTCTTTTAGTTTTGTTTAATTTTTAACTTAATTCAAGAGTCACACTGTGAAGATGCAAGAAATATGTATGGCCTAGGATTTATGTTTGCACGATTATTCATGTAATTGTATATAACATTGTACGACTGAAAGCACGTACACCAGTGACTCAGAGAGAGAGAGACCCCTGCACCTGAATGCGAGAAGCAGCAGATAACATGCTAGCCGACCACCGTATTGAAAGTAACGGCCATAAAATTATAAGGGTAAACTTGTTCATTGCCCACACTGAATCAGGGGCGGATCCAGATTTCCGTTTTTTTTTTTTTTTTTATTTTTGTGCGGGGGGGGGGGGGGGGGAGAATTTGTAGGGATACTATTCTCTCATTCTTTCTTGTGCACCGGAAGGGTCTACCCTTGTCAAATCGCCCTCAGAGAAGGGAAGAGGTGCGGGCGTCGACTTTGTTTTTGCCACACTAAATGGCAAACACGTTAACGCCTTCTGGTGGCGACACCACTGGAAGGCGTTCATCGTTTTGGCCATAAAGACCGCATGTTTATTGAGACATAGTGTCGAGAAACTTGGGCATTAGTAAAGTGGACGAGACAACAGGAATTAACCATTTTTTCTGTAGTTCAGGAAGATGCATTGTATATCCGAAGTCTCCAGGAATATGTTGTAAAACGACTTTTGTTTGGGCTAGTTGGTTCTTACTAGACATGATTAAAATAGCGCAAATTTGACAAGGACAAAATGAAGGCACACGTAGAGCAGGACTGGCGCTTACTTCCAACTAAGTTTATTTGATCATCAACCAAGCAATATATACCAGGGTGATTTCAGATAAGATCGACCAAAGGATGGCTAGTCGACATTTTTAAATCAACTGATGTTTTTATATGTTATTGTCTAGTGTCTGGTATGAACGAATCCAAACTTAGTTTTGACTAGAAAAAATACTTGGGGACAGGAAAAATCGTAAGGCATGAGGTGGTGGACAGTTGCATTAACGCGCACTGATGGAGGGGGCCCGTTTGAGAGTGAATAACTAAAGCGATAACATTAGGAGAACTCTAATACGTTTTAGGCGCAAACTATGGGTATAGCGTGCTAGTAATATAAAGTAATCATATTTATTTAAAATTTATTTATTTTTCTAAAAATTGACAAACATGCCTGCTCGAACGACAAATGGCAAACTTCGGAGGTCTGTATCTCATAAAATAATTTAATCATTATGATATAATTTGCAGATATTATTCTACTAATATATAGCTAATATTTAAAAAAATAACTAAGGTATCTGTGTGATACAATAGTTAGGATATATTTAGTCAAACATGGAAAAAAAATCAAACAAAGAAAAATTCCGATGCGAATAAAAAAAAAACACCACCCTCGATTTTTTTTAAATTTAGGTAACCTGTTATACTCTATTTCGGCATTCATTTCCATTAAAAACATGTTGCATCATTTTATTGAGAAAGAAGATACAACTCCCCAAAGTAGGGTCCTTTTTCAAAGCCTACACTTAGCAGTGTTTTATACAAGAACTGACTCTGAGTTCCAGTTTCATGAAACCAACACACATCTTTTATATATTTTTATTCAGATGAGGCCAATGATAACTAAAGAAATCGTTCACACACTTAAATTAAGGAGAAACTACTGTGTACAAAGAGGTATCATATTACGGACTAGTGATCCGAGATAAGATCATGCAGCCATCGGCCACTCGGAACTTTGTTTACTTTATTCTCCTGCGACACTATATGCTATTCCCTCTTCCGCTCTACCTTCATATCTCTCTCTCTCTCTCTCATATATATCCCTGATATATATCCAGAACAAAAACATGTTCAAGCATTCCCTTTCTGCGTGGTAGTGTTCTGTGGCTAGCAAAAATCATTTCCTCGCTAAGCTCACGATTATGGCAAAATAGTTGCCGGAAACCGCAGACGACACTCGTTGCTAGTTCTGGCAAAACGACCGATACAATCTTTTTTTCGCATTTCCCCGCTCGCTGTCAAGGACAAGGGGGTTCGCTTCAACCAGCAAAACATGGCCGCCGACGCCTGTTTACTAAGCAGTCATGCCTGTCGCCATCTCACTCGCTGGCGTCACGGGCGATAATATCAGGCACAAAGGGGCACACAAACCGGCAGCATTATCCCCAAATACTCGAGCCTCGCGTAAATACATAGAGTGTAAACGCTGTCGCCATGTTATCGTAGTAAGACCGCCGCCCCCCCCCCCCCCCTCCCCCAACGGGGGACTGCAGTACGCGACGGCGTACTAACACAACGGCGACGATATCGACATCGCGGGCTCCGAATTTTCCCATAGTTCTACTCCACGGGCATTTCTCGAAACGCTTGATATTGTGTACACCCGCCTGGAAGGATTTCAGGCGCGTAGTTAAGATAAGGCGGTTCTCCGCGGCAAAAGAAAGCAATTTCACAAAAGCTTAGAAGCGGCGGCGACGCGTGTGCGGTGAACGCTTGTAGTTTTGGTGTGGACAGGGTGTGTGTGTTCTCGTTGTTGACACCAGCCGGCGATAAGGCACTGCAGGCGGTAGCTCAGTACAGCAAGGGCTAATCCGAGTGACCATCAACGTAACCCCACCGCCAACCCCTCGCGAACCGGTCGCCGACATGGCTCAGGCTGTGTCATGAACCACGTGGTAGAAGCTCGGGTGCTTTCATATCAGCACGTGGAGGGACGACAGTGCGATTCCGGAAAGTCTTTTTCGAAGGCCGCTGACCACAATTTTTTGTCTGGAGACTTTCCCTCTTTCTTCCTTTGACGTGGATCAAGCTTTGCCGACAGCCTCAGTTGTGACCTCTCTTTTCAAATGTACGTTTGCAGTGAGTGAGCTCCTCAGCCTCGGACTTGTCACTTGTGCACCCAGTAGTTCTTTCAATTGGCAATTATATGCCATCAGTTGGGGTTTAATTTCTATTATTTATGTATACATTATGAAGACGTCCTGGAGCTCCGAACGAGTGTTTTGTGCAGATTACTTTTGCAAACACAAAAATACTATACCAAAGCAGCGGAATTTTCGAAGTGTTGTCGAGTTGGACCTAAACTCGTTGAAGCAAATTCTTCCGCCTGACTGTTCCACCAAAGTGAGTGCGACGGATTACCTGTGCTACCATTGCTTCATGCACATCACTAAGGAGATCTCAATGCGAAGCTCAGAGCAGTGCCCTGACATATTTGTGCCAGCTGAAGAAGCAATTGAAGATCTAAATCGCAGCATACTACCTACAGATGTGTCGCCGCTGAGACAACCAAGCGTCGTAAGAAGTCGGGACAGGCCTGCCTATGTCAACAGAAAGCAGACAGAACTGGAGCAGGTTGCTGTCAAGAATATACGCTCAAGGCTACGTATTGCGTACGACAGGGACGCACCATCGGGGTCGTCCGAACCAACATGCTCCACATGCACTGAGTGGGTGGACAACTTTCGGCAGGCCTTTGAAACCGCCACCTCTCTCCGGGAACGTTGTCAACTGCTTACACTCCTGCCGTCAACACTGACGAAGAATGGGGTTCAAAAGATGATTCCACAGGCCTCAATGTACCTCATCAGTAAATCCCGAAAACTCAAGGAAAAGCATGGCGTGTGGTATGAGCCGGATCCTTACACGAGGTGCAAGGTGAGCCCTGAGAACCTGTCTGCTGCCCTAGAGTACTTCACGAAAGACGAGCTACAATGTTCGCGCCAAAGTCCCAACCAGAAAGACGTCATCTCTGTCATGCTCAACGGAGAGAAAACGTTCGTGCCAAAGCGCTTCATGACACGCTCAATACGAGAGGCCTTCCATATATACAAAGACAAGCATCCCGATTCCGGCGTTGGGCTAACGAAATTTTATTCGTTGCGCCCTAGATGGGTCCAATGTATTCCACACCAGGAAGTGTGCGTTTGTGTGCGCTGCGCCAATTATTATCTTTGTATTGCCGCTCTAGAGAACGTTACAGGCTCAACATTCAACACTGGTGAAATGAACTCGGCATTTCTGTGCGACCTAGCAACAGAACTGTGCCTTCAAGGAGACTGTGATCACTGCCCAAAAGGCCAGTTTCTTACACTCCAGGAACTTGATATCCCGGAGGATGAAGAGATTGTGCTTGCAACATGGGAGTCCGGCGACCTTGTGAAAAAAACTTTAGAACCTGAGACTTTCCTAAAAGTCATCCAAGTGACGGTTGGAAGTTGGGTACTTCACAACCATATCCGGCAAACGCAAGGTAAAGCGCAAGGTAAAGTAATGCAACGCGGGAGCATTGTCTTTCATTTTGACTTTGCTGAAAACTGGGCCGTCGTGCTTCCTGACGAAGTTCAAGCATATCACTGGAACAAAAAAAAACAAGTTTCGATATTTACATGTGTAGTGACGACAAGAAAATCTACAGACAGCTTTGCCATCATCAGTGAGGACCTGTGTCACGACGCCGCTCACGCTTGCTTGGCTCTAGAAAATGTGAAGGAGTGGGTTGAAGACAACGTTGCGGTATACTCGTACGTGACGTACGTAAGTGACGGCGCCGCCAGTCATTTCAAGAATCGCTACCAGCTTCACCAATTTGCAAAGGACGATTGCCCACAAGCCCAGTGGTTATTTTCTGCATCTGGACATGGGAAAAATGCATGTGACGGAGTTGGCGGACTCGTGAAGCACCAGGCCACGCTGAACAACCTGAGAGAACGTTCAGTAAGCGCAATTCAGACGGCCAGGACAATGGTGAGCGTTCTATCAAAGAAACTGAAAGGCGTGCATCTTGTATATCTGGACGAAAATGAGGTTGTTCGGTATCGTGAACAAAAAAAAGAAGAGTGGCTGACGGTGCGCGCCTTCCCTGGCATTCAGTCTTGGCACGCGTGGCGGCTCAGCAAGTCATCAACAGAAGGGACCTGTGACGTATATGTAGCACGGACAGTCGGATCTGCTTGGAAGCAACTTTATTAAATGGGTACAGCGAGGAAAACCTTAGCGTAAAGTGCCGAATTTGATTCCCCAAGGACTGCTCATTTTGAATGCAGGGACATCTTATTTATCACATTTTTCTTCACGGGGTATTTAACCTACTTTTTTTGTTGGTGGTTACTAATAATTTTTATCTGATCACTATAAAAAAAATCCCAAAATCTTATCCTCGAGCAGGATAAAATATATCGGCTTGCCACGATTCATTCATACACCGAGAGCATCGAAGCTGCTCCAGTTAGGCACTATGGCATCCGTCACCTGAAATTGTTTGTAATCGTAAATACACAGCCAACCTAAATATCTTACTATTATATCTTTGTTTTTGTGTGTGGAAGTAAAGTTATTTATTTTACTCTAGATGTAAAATATACCGGAAGGTACAACTTCACACTGCATCATCTTTTCTCAAATCATTAGTCTCTAATATGATACCACTTTGTACGCTTATGTAAAATGCTGTATATAGTTTCTCCTCCCTTTTACTGTGTGACCGATCGCTCTTTTTATCAATGACCTCATCTGAATAAATGTATATAAAAGATTTGTGCAAGTTTCATGAAACTGGAACTCAAAGTCACTTCTTGTATAGACCTTTTCCGCGTACCCTCAACCCAGCGCGCCCGCACCCTCGACCCAGACACCATTCAGATTATCACGGGCGCACAGTGTTTGCAACAGCGGAGGGTATGGGCGAGTAGGCCTAGTGGGTGTATTTACCTGTGTATCACGGTACGTTTAGAAGTTGCAATGTCGGGAGTGAGTTGATTCTGAAGGTTTATTCTGTGCCAAATCAACATGTCGGAGAATCTACGGTCGTCCGGATACCACTGCGTTGTCTTCGGGTGTTCTAACAGTTTCACGAAGCGAAAACAGAATCGCGGAAAGTGGTGCGACGAGCACGAGAAGCTGCAGCGCGAGTGCGGATGCAATGTATTTGTACTTCACGCGTTCCCGACTGAACCCGATCTGCGACGCAAGTGGACTGCGAGCATCAGTCGCGAGGGCTTTGTGCCAAACTCGTCATCTAGAGTGTGCTCGGACCACTTCATCGACGGCAAGCGAACCGAATGCAACCCAGTGCCCATGCTTCGGTTAGGTTACCACCGCAAGGTATGTCATCGTTTTATAGCATGTGCTATTCTTTTAAATGTATTCTGAGCGTCTCTGCTTGTGAGGGGCAATCATTTCAACAGCAGATTGAGAGGTCATTGTTAATTTGTGGTTGAGGTGACCACCGGCGGGTGAGGCGAGCGTAGGGGGACAAGCGGGAGCGACGGCCGAGGCGACCGCTGGCATTAGTTTTCGCCTTCCCCTGATTGCTAGCCTGGCTCGCAGAAACCGAACCCTTAGTGGTTCCGATGAGGCTTGCCTCACGCTCGAGCCTGAGATTTTATTTAATTTCTTCTGTGAGAAGCAAAGCCAGGGCAGACCATCTGTTTGGGAGCGTGGCTTGTCGGTATGATCCGCGGGCCACGAGCGCAGCACCGCTTACGGCTGGCTTCCCATTCTCTGCGGCGATTGCTTCGCCGTCCCACCCAGCTTTGCACTCTAGAAGATGTTGCTAGCCGTACTACAGTCAAGCGACATGAGTAACCACCAAATCAAAATCACCCAGCGAAAAAAAAAAGTGTCGGCGAAACGTGTCTACTGCGTGCGGTTCGTCCAACGAGTTTCACTGAAACGTCAAAACGTTGACGAAATTAACATGCGACGATGAAGCGTGTCTCTGTGAAGCTATGCGAACTCCCTAATCATATATTTTGTCACATATTCTGATTCGTCTTTAATCACGCCGGTGAAATTTTCTGCAGGTTCTCGTAGGACGAAGGCGGCTTGACAGAGTCTATGTGCCACCGCTCAAGATGCAGGTACCAGTTGTGAAGAGCGGCAAACACCACCAGGCGGTGCTCCATTCTTTTGACGTCCCAGAGAACTTCCGGTTCATAAAAAGAATGAACAAAGAAACGTTTAACCACCAATTCTCCAAGTGAACGCCAAGAGAACGCAGAAGCGCGAGATGGGTTGAACGTTTTCGAATATCCTTGTAAACCAAATTCTCTTGTTTAAGACGTTAGATTGTCCAGCCGAGAGCCCTCATTAAATCTCCAAGTTTGATGTACGTGTAGCATTTGTGCTTTCTAGCACTGGTGACATAAGCAGGCTCGACAGGCTCGCGAGCACGGAACGATCGGAAGTCGCTTGGGACGCAGGAGGCAGCTCATGTTTGTAAACAGCAAAAGGGTCTATACAGGCTTCATTAAAGTCTCTTCTTTCATTGTAGAAACTCAACCAAAACGCCCCACAGCTTTCGTCCTCATGCTTTCAAGGAGGCAAGGTAAGTTGCATAGACATATTCTGAACAAACACAATGTAGTCAAGTTCTTACTTTGGTTGGCATCCTTCTAGGGCAATTTATTTAAACAGTTCGAATTATTTCTGTCCCGAGTATAAACATTCAAAAGTGCTAAATTACATTCAAAATTGTTGTTACACTGTGTTAGAAACCCCTGGCAAGCATCGCTACAAATGTTGGGTCTCAGTCATCAACTGCTTTGAGAACTACCTGTCTATCCAGCACGGTAAGCCGACATTTGCACTTGCCTCTCAGTTTGCTCTGTATTGGTTGTGCAGTGTTATTGACTGTTCACTTTTCTCTCGGCGCAGCAATCCCTGGCTCGTAGTGCCTCCACAAACATTGGGCCTCAGTCGCCTACAGTCACGATTGGGGGCAAAACTGGTAGGCTTCCCAGCATGGTAAGGAAACAGTTGCACTTGTCTGTCGGCTCCCTTTGTGTGGTGCACAGTTGGTGACTGTTTGTTTTTCTCAATGCACATCAGTCCCCAGCACGAAGCCCTTGCGCAACAACTGCTAGGACACAGACGCCAACAGTTGCGCTCACTCAGCTACGCAGAATGGTAAGCAGACTTTTGCATTTGCCTCTCAGCTTGTCCTGTATAGTGCGGTATTAATGACTTCGCTTCTTGACACAACAGTCCCCAGCAAGCACTGCTGCTGCAAATGGGCCACGGACGCCAACAGTCACGGTGGGGGGAAGAACCCCTACGCTATCCAGCACAGTAAGCAGACAGTCGCAATTACTTCTCAGCTCGCCCTGTGTTGCCCAGTGTCTGCGACTATCCATATCTCCCTCAAAACAGCAGTCCTTGGCATGCACTCCTGCCACAGACAAGCTTCACTCACCAACATTTATGACTGGAGGGGGAGTGTCCAGCACGGTAAACAGACAGTTGCAATTGCTTGCCGGCATGCGCTGCGCTGTCCAGTGTTAATGGCTCTGCTTTTCTTTTGCCACGGCAGCCTACGGAATGCACCCCTGCCCCAAACGGTGGGCCTCAAGTGACAACATTCACGATTGTGGGGGGAACTGGTAGGGTACCCGGCACGGTAAGGCAACAGTTGCGCTCATTTCTCGGCTCCCTTTGTGTGGTGCACTGTTGATGACTGTTCATTCTTCTCAATGCACATCAGTCCCCAGCACGAAGCCCCTGTGCAACAATTGCTAGGCCACAGACGCCAACAGTTGCGCTCACTCAGCTACGCAGAGTGGTAAGCACTTTTGCATTTGCCTCTCAGCTTGTCCTGTATAGTGCGGTATTAATGACTTCGCTTCTTGACACAACAGTCCCCAGCAAGCACTGCTGCTGCAAATGGGCCACGGACGCCAACAGTCACGGTGGGGGGAAGAACCCCTACGCTATCCAGCACAGTAAGCAGACAGTCGCAATGACTTCTCAGCTCGCCCTGTGTTGCCCAGTGTCTGCGACTGTCCATATCTTCCTCAAAACAGCAGTCCTTGGCATGCACTCCTGCCACAGACAAGCTTCACTCACCAACATTTATGACTGGAGGGGGAGTGTCCAGCACGGTAAACAGACAGTTGCAATTGCTTGCCGGCATGCGCTGCGCTGTCCAGTGTTAATGGCTCTGCTTTTCTTTTGCCACGGCAGCCTACGGAATGCACCCCTGCCCCAAACGGTGGGCCTCAAGTGACAACATTCACGATTGTGGGGGGAACTGGTAGGGTACCCAGCACGGTAAGAAGACAGTTGTGCTGACTTGTCGGCTCCCAATATGCCGTCCAGTGTTGATAAATGTTCACTTTTCTTTGTGCACATCAGTTCCCGGTACGCACTCCTGCCACAGGGGTTGGACCTCAATCGACCGTATCTATGATTATGGGGGGAAATTGTAGCCCAGGCAAAAATTTTCAACTGGGACCAATTGGTCCCAGTTGCAACTGGTTTATGGAACAATTCCCAGTTGCAGCTGGTCCCAGTTGGAGCTGTCCAACTGGTCCCAGTTGGAGTTGGTCCCAGTTACCGCTGGTACCAACTTCAGCAACAATGAAACACGGCACAAAATGGAAGGTTGATAAGACTTTATTGTCAAAAACTTGAAGAATGAAACTAAATAATAGATTCGGTGATGTACACGCTCCGAGTTTAGCCACTTGGTTGCGACGGTTGAATCGCTTTTTCAGAAGTAGTATTCGTGAGATGAAGGAAGATCAGCCGCTGGCGTCTGTTAGTGAAGACGTCCTCAGCTTCTCTCCCCATCGCATAAAGAAAGGTGCTCACCCGTGATCCCGCGTTGCGCAGGTGAAGTCCTGATAGGATGCGGTAGCGCTCCCACCTTGCAATCTCTGTCACAACAGTCGTACATTTTCGAGGTAGACCTCCCGCCATTTTTGCCATTGTGCTCTCCGCGGCGTTTTCTTCCGTCCGGTCTTTCCTGGGTGCCCTCCGATCGCTGAACTGCATCTTTCCATCCCCGAAGTTCACTTCCGCCACCATGGTGTGTGTGCAGTTAGGTCCAAAGAAGCGCAGCTGTAGTTTTGACATTTTCATAACGACGCCAACTTCGGCGATGGCGACCCTTCTCTACCGCGTCCGTCCGACTCCGGCGTCATGCGGCGTCAGCATAGGCAGCGCTATCTGTCGACAGCGCGTACCATTAATCCGCACCTGCGTGCCACGGTGGCTGGCTAGCTCTGATTGGCCAAAAGATAAATTTATTTATTAAAAGTAAAAAGAAAACAAATACTGTAGGTGTTTAAATAAATGTTTTAATATATTTTTATGATGCACTAAATGTTCATTTAGGTGAACACATTTTGTCACTAATTATATTTTCTAATTAAAAAAAATATTCTATTAATTAAAACTTTTATATTATTTTTATAAATATAAAAATGTACCCCAGTAATTAAAAATTTCCCTATTTGTATAAATTTAAAAATGTAAGTGTTTTTAGTTTTCTTAATTAGCAAAGGTCAATACACCCCCAACTTGTCAAAATTGTTGCCCCGTGTGAACTGGGAACGGGAAAGGCATTTGAAGTCCGACTGGGAATCGCTCCAACCAGTTACGTTCCTAACTGGTCTGAGTTCACTCCATTCCCAACTGGAAGTCAAACCAGTTGACTCCCAACTGGGAATGGTTCAAACCAGTTGACCCCTCAGCTGGTCCCAGTTGGACTCCTATTGGTCCCAGTTGCTTCCCAGTTGGTACCAGTTAGCCCCAGTTGAAACCAGTTGAGGTGCCAACTGGTCCCAGTTAGAAATTTTCGCCTGGGAGGCTACCCAGCACAGTAAGGAAACAGTTGCGCTGACTTATTGGCTCCCTCTGCATTGTTCGGTGTTGATAACTCTGCTTTTCTCCCTGCCCAGCAGTCCCCAGCAGGCCCTTTTGCAACAAGCATCGGGCAACATACACCACCTGTTGCAGGAGTCGCTCCGCTACCCAAAGTAGTAGGCAGACTTTTGCACTTGCCTCTTAGCTTGTTCTGTACAGTGCGGTATCAATGACTTTGCTTCTTTCTTGACACAACAGTCCCCAGCAAGCACTGCTGCTGCAAATGGGCCACGGACGCCAACAGTCGCGGTGGGGGGAGGAACCTCCACGCTATCCAGCACAGTAAGCAGACAGTCGCGGTTGCTTGTCGATTCACCCTGTGTTGTCCAGTGTCAGCGACTGTTCACATCCCCCTTAAAACAGCGGTCCCTGGCACGGACTTCTGCGACAGACAATGAACTTCAGCCTCATCAGCTGTTTGAATCAGTTAGCACAACTGAATTCAATCTATGTAGAATTTCCCTTCATATGGCGATTTCAGTGATGTGATTGGCCTAAGGCGTTTTGGAGCAGCCAAAACCATGTTTTGGAGCAGCGAAAGTGGCCCAATTCTCCTTAGTCACTCAGTCGACCCGCCCCAATCTCAGTTCCCGTCTTCTTTCTCCTTCACTTTCTTATCGTAGCACTCTCCCCCTCCCACTAAAAAAAGAAACAAAAGTGGTAATCTCTTTTAAAAATACAGTTAATGTGATGTTGATCGTAGTCCGTCTGCAAAAGATGTTCTCATTCTTTACGGAACTTAACTTGGCGCGCTCGTGGGATGTATAGCTTGAGATGTGATACATGCTCAGGAAAGCAGCGGTGTGTGCTGGGAGGTCGTCCATCAGTGAGGTCCTCGAAGTAGGTGGCACGCCCATCCCGTTCCAAGACTCAATAAGGCCCTCGGCCTTATCGAACCCAAGGTCTGTCTCTCGGCAGACCTTGCGGTCTACCAAGAGACAGACCGCAAGGTCCGTTTCGCCAGAACTTTATCTCCAGTTTGAAACTCGTGCACATTATGGATACCGGCCTCTGACATATTGCCAGTCTCTTCCTGACTTCGCCGAATGGCGTCCCGTGCCTGTCTATGAATTTCATCAAGAGAAGCCTGTTGAGTGTCCCTGCAATATTGTGTCCCGTTCACCCCAAGCCTTGTCTCAGTAGGCAGCGTCACGTCATGACCATATAAGAATCTGAACGGTACTTCCTTCGTGGTTTCTTCCTGTGATGTGTTCAGTGCGAACATGGCGTGTGGGACAAAATTATCCCAATTAATATGCGTGGAGTTTACATAGGCAGACAAGATATCTGTAAGTGTACAGTTGTTCCTCTCAACTAGATTGTTCGTTTGAGGATGGTACACGGATGTCGGAGAAGGTCGCATGCCATGTCTCGCCAGACAGTTTCTAAAATGGTGAGACATGAACGGTGTACCATGGTCTGAAATTATTGCGCGTGGCGGGCCATGTCTGAGAACAATGTAGACATCAATAAACTCTTCTAGGAAATCTGCAGTAGCATTTGGCACCGCTAGGGCCTCTACCCATTTGGTTAAGTAGGCAACTGCGACTATGACATAACGATTTCTGCTCCGAGACTTCGGAAAAGGTCTGAGAAAGTCAATTCCAATTAGCTCGAACTTAGTAGTAGATGTCTCCCGGAACTGGCAGTGCTCGCATGTCTGAACGTCTTGAACGACGTCACTCCTCAGTCACTTAGTCCAGCCTTCCCATTCTCAGTTCCCGTCATCGTCTTTCTCTTACACTTTCTTATCGTAGCAATATATATGTACCCGCTACAGGTAAATAACAAACAAACTCCACATATTAAAATCCGAAAATGACCAGCTTAGTAGTAAATATAACAGCATTAGCTTGACTAGTAATATAATAAATGGAAGCAGACTCGGACTGATCAAATACGTAACTACTGCCGTACAATGCAAAATTCTCATGCGAGCGGAGATGGCTGTTCGATCTAAACCATGCCACTCCACTCCGTCGCCAACATGGTTCCCAAAATTGTATGCAAAATGTAACTGTCCAGCATACGACAAAAAACAGTCCAGCGGCACGTGCTTGCAAGGCCGGCAGGCGAGGTATACAAGCTAAACGCATGAAAAAACAACCTCATCGCATCGATGCAAGACACCGTGAGCCAGGGTCAAAAAGTCCTTGGGGCGCTGAACTGAAATCGGGACAAACAAGCGCGCTGTGCTGGTTCAGCGTGCAGACATTGCCTTCTTTGCTTTAGCTCACTTCACTAACTTTCTTTCGCGGCAGATTTTTCACGTACCGGGATCCGTCTTGAAATGAAAGCCTACCGAGAGAAACCTAGGTAATCAATACTTTGACACAGCAGTCTCTGAGCTAGAGAGATTTCCGTAGTACCGTATTAAACTTGAACAGGAATGTTGATGAACATGCGGCAGTCCTTACGTTTCAGTTTAGAAAGCAGCATACAGTAAAACCTCGTCATAACAAAGTTGAAGGAGCGGTCGTAATTATTTCGTTATAACCATTAGTTTGTTATAGCCAATGTCCATTTCTTCCCACTATTAGCAAGCAAGGGGAATTATGATTGCTCTGTTATATCCATTAGTTTGTTATATCCCGTTTTGTTATAACGAGGTTTTACTGTATTTGCAGCGACGTGGGGACGGCAACACCCGACGTTGCGCGACGACGGTGACTGGCAAGCAGGGACCACATATGCTTTGGCCACGGCCGTTGCTTTTAGAAGCGAGTGCTTCAGCCCGTAAACTTAACTCCTACCGCGCAAAAACATGGTTTCGTTTAACAGCATGACGGCATGGCTGGTCCCCAGCACGCTAGCGTCGGAGAGTCCACACACGCCCATGTCTATCATTGAAAAAATTAAAAAAAAAAAAACGCAAGACAAGAGGTGGCGGGAAAAGCCATGCAACGGAACTGGATGAGCGATTGATGGATGGTACTTTGAGTCGGGCAGCTGCTTGCACCACCTAGCTCATGTGTGCTCAAGTTTAGTTTTGTTTTTCAAAGGCGACCAAAATTGGTCCTTTGGCGCAGGCTTGGCAAAATTTAGCAGGGTTAGCCTTTTGGCGTAATTGGCACGCAATCACATCACTGCGATTTGCATGAATACCCCTTCTCAAAAAGAAGTGAGACGTTGATGAAAATATTTGACATCAGAAGTTCCTGTCTTCTCTACAAATTTATGCATGTGAGAGATGTACCCTGTTCACCGGGTTTGAGCAGAAACAAGTGGAATTTGTGTAGCTTATCATTGTAGTTTGGTCTTCAAGTTTTGAGCAGGTAATGTATTGCCCAACTAGGTTTTAATATACTGAGCACTGAAGCAACAGCATGAGTTACTATTCTTTGTAAGTAGTATGTGTGGTCTCACTTTGCCCATTCAGGTAACAACGAAGAGCCCAGACGCCGGGCAAGCAGCTGACCACGACTACTGCACGAAGGAGCCATCTAAAGCTGCAGTTTCGCTAACGATGTCAGACGCTGACATTCAGTTTTACACTGGCATTTCAAGGGATGCATTTTTGTCTCTAGTCGAAATGGTATCCTTAATGACAACAGCCAACTCACGAATCCCTCTTGAGGATCAACTACTCCTCTCTCTAATGCGGCTACGTCTGGGCCTCCTTTATGGTGATCTCGCCAGGCGATTTTCCATATCTGTTACTCGCATTTGGGCTATCTTCGATAAGATACTTGGAATCTTAAAGAAGATTATGACGTATATCGTGGTCTGGCTGCCACGTGTACGCATTCAGAGCACCATGCCAGCATCTTTTGTAGAGAATGGCTATGGCAGGACAACGTGTATCTTCGGTTGCGCAGAACTCACCTTGCAGAGGCCACGGAAGTTAATGGCCCGTGCGCAAACGTACAGTGCATATAAGGCTGCAAACACTTTAAAGTTTCTTACTGTGATTGCACCTAATGGGCATCTCATGTATGTTTCTGATGTTTACGGAGGGAGAGCCTCTGATAAGCACATCGTTCGGACCTGCGGGGTTGAGGACTTCCTACAGAGAGGAGACGAAATCATGGCTGATCGAGGCTTTGCACTCGAAGCTCACTTGGAGGCCAGGGGGATCAAGTTGAATGTGCCTGCATTCACGAGGGGTATGGTAAATTGGCTGTTTCGAAAAAGCTACTCTTATGTTGTGAAATGCTTTGGATACTACATGACAACTAATTTCAATCTAAATTTGGATATGTTAAATTTCAACACTAACTTACCTCAATTTCAGGAGTGCTTGCATCATGTTCTGAAATAGCATTTATGCTTCATAACTGTTCAATTCCTGCTTATATGTGAATTGATGTAACATTTCTTGTTTGTATTTATATGTATTCTGTGTTGTAGCTTACAAGTGCACCAATACGTCGGCTCCAGCCGTTATTGGGCATTTAAAATAGACAAGTACAAATAAGCTAATAAATCATACAAATGTGTGGCATGGACCAGTTAAACTTTTAAATTAAATTTTGCTGTTATAACCATGTGTAATGGTGTATAATATTTGTAAGGAATTAGCAACAATAACCTTTATGCAGCCAAGATATTTTTGGAAAACAGTGCATCCTCGAATATTTCACCATTAACCCCATTTTTTTCCCATGTGCAGTCTGGCTGTTCTACGAGTGGATACTTCCAAGAGTGTAATTGAAAATGGTGCATAAGCATTGCATGAGAATGCTTTGTAGAAAGCATGCCACAATTTCCTTGCATGATCAACATATGCTCGGTTTAATGAGTAGCTACACAGGTAAAGCACTTATTCCTGCAGACATCTGAAGACATTCAAACCTCCTATAAATGGCCTTTGGGCATCCGAGGAACATATCTGTTGGGATTAAAGTGTTGCCTGTATGCAAGCAGCAAGAATGACAGGAAAGCTCATTGGCATAAAACTATGCCAACATATTTAGTTATATTTAAGTCGGCACAGGTTTTTTATCCCCCTTCCAGTTTTCTGAGGTACTCGTTGGATAGACAAAATTGGTGGTGGGTTCTGCTCAGTTGGTGGTTTTCTCATTTGGTATACCTCGCTTGTATGAGAAGAGTGGGAAGAGATGCAGTGGCATACTCCTACCAGACTTTGTAACTATCAATATTTACTTTTTTCTTTCAGGAAAGCCCCAACTGTCGGAGACTGAGGTGACTAAGACTCGACGTATTGCGTCTGTGCGGATCCACGTGGAAAGGGCCATTAACCGCATCAAAACGTATCGTATGTTTAAGTCTGCTTTGCCCATAGCATCTCGCAAAACTATTAACGACATGGTTTTTGTGTGTGCTGGTCTGTGTAACTTGAAAGCACCACTTATCGCACACCAAAATGATGCGGTCTAACACAGTGCCAACTAACATGAGAAGCTGATTCAATAAGTTCAAAGTCAAATGCAGAACTTCCTGAGCACCACCTCATGTAGCATGGAGTAGGACGGCTTCTTGTCGACTATCATCGTTACCGCTTCTGCCAAGCAGCATTACTGTCTCATTGCAGTGCCATACTAAAGAAGCAGGTGTGGTGTTTCCTTGAAGACAATTTGTGAGATGGGTCTGACATTTTCCGCTGGTTCCCTTTTATCATCAAGACTGACGTTTGGTTTTCGGGGAACATCAACTTTGTTTCTGAAACCAACTTGTTTGCTGCTTTCTTTGAATGACCCAAGCGTCCATTCTTTTTGCAGAGTTGCCTCCTCCTTGTCGGTCACTCCGATTGACTCCAGTCTCCAGATTCGTTCCAAGCAGTTCATAGTTTCAGATTCCACCACCAATGTTCTCAGGGCTGTCGTCTGCATGCAATGTGCGTCATGAAGCATTGCCCCTCCCAAGGTCTGGGATAATCCGTTCCAAGGTGTTCTCGTCTGCTCCGAGCTTTTCCTCGAATGGTTTGAATTTTCCTGTCACAAGGTCCCAGTGATGCTCCAAGCCGATAAGAAGCTGAACGTTGCTTCGTTGCTTGTTGCAAGCGTAATAATCCACGCTAAGTTCATCGCCCGAGTCAAGGTCAGGGGCAACATTCTAAATTGAGGACGTAGACCGCACAGGCTGGCCCAGTCAGGCGTCGTCTTTGTCGTCTTTTTATTTACTATGGTGGCGCCCTTTTGTGTACAGCGCCAGCGTCGGAAGGAATTGGATACTTCCTCTTGCTGATGGCTGACACGCTGACACCGGTATCCAACTCGCATGCGTTGACGGCAACTTCGACACGCATTGGCTCTGGTCTGGTCGCTTGAAGCACCCAAAGGTCGTACGCTGCCAGCTCGTCATCCACATTGTGGACAGGACTCGATCCACTCCTCTGTCTTGCTTTTCCGTTTGAGATGTATTTGATCTGCACAGTTGTGCTAAATGCCCTCTCTGCTCACACTTGAAAGAGATGCTGCCCACGTGACGACACTGGTGTGCTAGATGATTACCCCCGCAGCGGAAGCAAGAACCACTTGCCTGCTGTCTGGTCGGCTTAGTCTCTACAACATTTGCACACTCCCAGGCCTGCACAGGCGTCGCTTCAGCCAGCCGAGCACATAATTTCACATCGTTTCGGTAGCATCAGCTACCGAAACGATGTGAATTTGCAGTCGTCGGCAAGCTTCTTAAGCGATGCGATGTAATCGTTGGCCGGCTCTTCGTCCCGCCGATCGAGAAAAAATAACTTGAAGCTCGCCACCACCTACGATACCTTCGGCGAGTAGTGCTTGTTCAAAGCTTCGAACATCACAGCCAATGTTGTATCGGCAGGCTTCGTAGGGGTGAGCAGGCTCTGCAGCAGCGAGTAAGTTTCTGACCCGCAGCACGTCGGAAACACGGCAGTCCTCATCGTTGCGGCGATGTCGTTCGCGGCAAAGTATAATTCCACGTGTTTGTGATACTCGGTCCAGTCCGACGTAGCAGAGTTGAACGGTTCTACCTTCCCAATGGCAGGCATGGCTGCTGGAGTTGATGCGGGACAAACAGATAAGACGTGCGCGTCCATTATGTATCGCTCGTTGCCAGTTGTGATAATCCATGCCAGGCACATCGCCTGAGTCATTGTCAGGGACAATGTTCCAAATTGAAGACATAGACCGCACTGACTGGCTTAGTCAGGCATAATCTTTGTTGTCTTTTTATTTACCACCGCGGTTGTGCCCTTCTGTGCACAGTGCCAGATATCACCGAGTCATGTCGGCTAGCTTCATTTTACCAAGGAATTTCTTGAAGCAAGGATCGGGATCTTCTGATCGGAGATCAGGTCCGTTTCCAGTACTTTGAGGTGGTACAGAGCGCGACGCTGTTAGCGCGAACAAGCTTTCGCCGGTTTTTCCAGTTTTTCTCTTTGAAACCAAGAGATGTCATCCAAGTTATGGTTGCTACAGAAAGAGCTAATTTAGTTCTATAATGTAAGCGATAAAATTTCGTGATCGCAAATACTGTTTAGAAGTAAAATGCAAAAATGCACCGATGTTGTTTCCGCGCTAACAGTGTCGCGATGTGTACATATCATAGTTTTGGGCCGTTAGGAGCACCAGTACCCTGTTAAGCACTCATTCTGATTGGTGTCCACTAAACAATCTGACAATCAGTCTCTCCTGTCCCAATATTTGCAACTTGAGTTTTTCGGACTCATTCTTTGTAATAAATGATTGCTGTCTCCCTCTGTCAAAGATAACGCGGACAAATGTTGCATGGGCTTCTCCAGCACACCAGGTTGTTCCAGCCTGAAGCTTAATGACTGTCCTGGAAGCTTATCTGCTGTGAAATCACTGCAGCGTGCCCTTCAAAGGGACACTGAACTTGTGAAAAACATAATTTGTTTACTGACGGGACGGGACAGGTACGGCACAAAATGAATTATTGTTGAAAAGGATTGTTTTTGTCTTTTTTTACTACATTTGAGATGCAAACATATTTTGAGTTTTAGGAGTGGAACCGATATTTACTTATTTCCACCTTTGCACCGATGTAATTCCCAAGTGTGCCATAGCATCTCATTGGTGTACATATGTTGTTTTCAGTCCTGTACCATTATTTTTATCCACTTGTTCTAGAGCAAATAAATTATGTTTCTGGGAAAAATAAATATTTATTTGGACTGTTGTCTTTAAATATGTCACATAACTAGGAGAACTGTCAGTTGTGAATGAATGGAAGAGGAAGCACAGTCTCGGACACCCCAACATTTTTCGTGATGCAGTTATAGACCTTGTGCTGAAGGCATTGTTGGAAGTCGCCTAATGAGGCTTGGTACTCGTTCCCCGTCTGTGTGCATGGCTTTTATTGACTGAGCTGTCTGGCATGGCTGCCACTGCAGACACCCTGAGATTCGTGTACGGTCTGGTACCGTGCAATAGACTGAGCATGACCATGCACAACTGATTAGGAATGTGGTGCAGATGGACAAGAGAAGTACAAGCCACACTTTTATATGAAAGTTTTTGTCTCTCCTGTGTATTACTTGTAAAATCATGAATGTCATGTATGGATAAAGAACACTTCTTTCCTAGGAATTGCCTATAACATACTGTTTCCCTAGTAGTTTCTTTCTAGGGCATGCCCAAAACTGGTTTTTCATATTGCTGGCTACTCAACTACGCAACAGCAAGGTCACACAAAGCAATTGATTTATTTTCACAAGCCATCACTTGATGATGTGGGTTGCAGAAACGAAAGGGGTACATACTTTTAAGGCATAGAAACTTGCATGCTTACAGCACCACAAGGTGTACAATATAAATGAACACATAGTATAGAACTTAAATTGGCCAAACCGAAATTCAAGAGCAAATTGGGGGCAAATAAGGGGTGGGCTAACCTTCTATGTGCGATCGGAAAAAGAAAAACATTGTCGAAGCAAGGCCAGTTACAGACTTCTAAACAAGTTTTTATTTGTGGTCGGGTTGGTGAACCTAGCTATTTCTGACCTTCATGATGCTATGTTCACTCAATGGGTTGTGAAACCTCTTATTGCAGCAAAGACCAACTTAACCACCAATAACTAGTTTCCAGTACACATTACTCCCTACCTCTCCCCGCAGCTTACCCCATTCCTGTGCAGGTCACCATACTGAACAGTGCAATTTCTAGACAAGGGGTAGGGCATCTCTCGGAATAATACGGCATTCAACAAAAAACACGGTGTTACAAGTAAAGTCAACTTTTAGGCAGCGAGAAATTAATTGGACCCAACAAAAAAAAGAACTTGCACATACATACTTAATACTTTGCGTGAAGCAGCTCTCGCAGATTTGGTTGCCAAATGAGAAAGATGCTATTCGAGTTCATAAGTCAATTTTTTCATTCATCACAAACTGGGGCAAACATGCATAGTATGCGGACTATAGTACCGAAAATATGGTAGTACACATTGGGATGCATATATGCTGTTACATTACATTTGTGTCAACCGCCTGTAGTCTGAGGACAGTTGGTGCGAACCATTCCTGTACTTCTCTTCGAGGTATGGCAACATTGAAGAAAAAAAAAACTTCGTCAGGCGAGCCCTGTTTTGCATGATGAACATCTCATTGAAATTCACTGTGAATGATGCTACAGAGCAGGGTGACCATACGTAAAAAAACAGAGTGTCTTCTTAGCACATAGCATCGTGAACTGCACTTGACTGTAAAACCCCTTGTCGTGCTCGGGGTCCAAGAAAAAATTGTCGCCTTGACCTTTCACTTCGTAGCCTCCTCGTGCTATCAGCGCTTTGCAATCGTTTGTGTCGCGACACTTAATTTCTAAAATGGCATTACAAGACTCAATAATACCGTCGGGAGTAGCAGAGAGAAAAGGCAGCTCTGCACAGACAACTGTTCCACATAGAGAAACACTTAATCCGGTCTCTCTCACAAACTGCGCACGTGCGACTGGCTCGAAATGCTGGCCACGCCTGGTTGCAGCGTTCCCCCGAAATGTACTGCTTGTAAGCGACAGTACTGCCCTCTCATGGGGAGTATGTGGCATTTTTGGCACTGTTCTAATGTTAGATGCTGTGACACGTAACCTCCTTGACTCGTGCCACAAGGCATTTGTCGTGCCTCTTGTTTGGCTTTCGAGCTGTACCACCGCAGCACTACTCAATACCACAAAGTCTGTGTAAAAAACATTACAGCGTGGGCAGCTCTCTGGCAGGCCTTCTACATCGGTGTGGCCCTGGTGGCTTGGCAGCGGGTCGGGTGCAGAGGGGCAGGCTGGCACCTGGACAGGAGCAGTGAGAGTTTCATAGAACAGCGTTCCTGCAATGATGGGGAAAGAAACACACATTGGAGGCTTCACCTGAGACAGCTGCGAGCATTCACATGTTAATCTTCTGGATGCAGTGCACAGGGGCCTGAATGCTCCAGTGCATGTTCATGTTTTTCCATGTGTCGGGCAGGTTACTGAACAAGTATGACGGAGCGGATGTGTGGCGTTAACATAGCCAGTAAAGTCTGACATTACATACTTATCCACAAGTGGGACTGAGTGCACACGCCACATTCAGAATCACTGTATTAACAGGTGGAAGCGATTTCTTATTCAAAGACCACTTGTAAATTTTTGCCTGAATATTTCGTGACTAGGCCTGTTTAAAACCTTTGAATCTCAAATATCATAACAAAGCACTGCATCCAGTTTATTGGACCTGGTGTCGTTGCTCTACGAATATTTACAACATATTTGCATCCTTTCTTGGGAGTATAGAGTTTTTTTTTAAATTTGAAATACTGTAATTCGTGTAAAAAAAAGAACATGTCCCTCAAAAACCACAGCAAAAGAAAGTTCAGCTCCTTGTGGAGTTCCATTACTAATTTACCCCATTATGCAGTGAATTTTAATACTTAGATCACATACTTGTTATTGAAATCAGAACAATCACATATCAAACACCAAAAGCATTTCGTATTCAGAACAATTGCGTATCAAATACCCAAAGCATTTCTTTTCTGTTCTCCAAGAAAAAAATATTCCTTTCTGTGAACTATCTAATGCAATGTACCATGCCCAAACTTGCAATTTGTTTCTTGAGTTCTCATTGGTTAAAATTAAAATGAAACTGCAATGTGGAGTTAGCCACAGTAAACTGAGCAGGGGCAGACACATAGGCATGTCACCGCAATAACAGCGTGTACTTGCCTGGCACCCTGAACAGACCCTGGGACGGAGCTGTCGCCAGGAATTCGTGTAGCTCCTTGTCGTCACGAAAGGAATGATACTTTTTTGCCTCGGGAGCTTTCCTGTTGACTGTGGATGCCCCTGTCTCCATCTTAAAGTCAATGTTGGAGAGGGCAGC